CTCTCTCTCTCTCTCTCTCTCTCTCTCTCTCTCTCTCTCTCTCTCTCGCTTGCAGCCACACACTCAACAGTCCTTACGCTCTGTTGTGCTGCTTTGCCAGCCGGGAGGCGCAGGGGTCTGACCCCTTTAGTCGCCTTGTTAACCGGGTGGTATGAGATACGAGGTCTCATTCCTAATAGCTGCTGACATCGAGTCAGCCGTTTTTTTCATGCCGTCACTTGGCTGAGGTTAAGAGGGGTTTGAGGAACCCGATCCCAGATCTGATGATTATGTGTGAGCCATCAGGAGCAGCAGGAGGCCTCCTTCTAAACTGGGCATCCATCACAGGAGAGGGAGGCTGCAACTGGCTCCACCATAACCAGTATGAGGGGGTCCCTCTTGTTTCAAGACTTTTCACATTCTTTATATGCACACTTTTGAGTATCTTCTTGAGGAATTTGCACAAATAATATGCAGCGACATCACAGAAGAAATTGCTTGACGTTTTGGGAAATACATTTATTTGCTTTCTTGCCAAAAAGTTAGACAAGTGGATCGATACCACTCTCATGAAGCTCCCGCCAGCAGCTGGTCAGCTTAGCGTTCCATAACGACTGGGAAAAGACCTGGGAAAATAACCTACAAGCACCTAGCAGAGATATGACTTTATCACCAGTGAGCTTTAGAGATGCTGGTGGGAGCATTTTGTTCCATTTGGACTGAACCAGGTGAGCCATTTCCAGTTTTTTAAGCTAAGTGGCTGCTGGCTGTAGCTTCACATTCGTATCGATCTTCTGAAATAACTCTCGGCAAGAAAGCGTATTTCCCTCAAAACTATTTCTTTAACTTCAACATTGAGTCTGCCAAATACACCCAAGCACCTCCAGCGTGCTCCATAATCGAATCAAACGCACCTCAGTCGGTGCAACGTACCGACCTTTGCTCAACCCTCTGAAGAGGACACACTGTGAAGTTTGTCTAATCCAAATAAACAGGTGAGGCACTTATTAGCCCCCAATTCCCGCTGCAAGTGTAACTTCATTTTAAATTTTGACTCATTGGCTGTGACTCATGGGAGAGCAACTTCAAAGCTGCAGCCGTGCACTTGAGGTCATTATCTTTATTTCTATATCCTCTGCAGGTTCTCAGCATATGGGAACATTTTAACTCTAGATTTTTTTTTTTTTTTGTCTACAGCCATAAATCTGCCATGTCAACGATAAAATACAGCTGACCAGCAACAGATGTCGCTCTAATAGCTAGCAAAAAAAAGAAGAAATTAAATCAAAATTTACCACTTCTAGATTTTTATTTTAACACTTAATAGCCTTTAAGATTGATTTCAGTTTTGAACACAGGAGATGGACAGTGAGTAGAAATCCGAACATGCTCAAGAGGAGGGAAGAAAAAGGGGGTTGGGTGTTTCCTTTTCGTTTTCTATGACTCTGGTTCACTTGCTCAATCCCTTTCTCTCTTTCTCCGCTTCTCTCTTTTCTCGAATCCCTCTCCTTCCACCCTTCGCTGAGACGAATCCTCCTTTCATCCTCTTCTGCAGCGAGGGCCCTGGTGTCCGATCGCACAAAGCCTGACCATCCCTGACTCCTCGTCAACCCCTTCCCCAATTCATCAAGCTGAGGCCCACGGGCATTCATCACCCCCACCACCTTTCATATCCCGCACCAGCTGAAAGCCACTGTCCCTCCTCTGACTTCAATGCAGCCGTAACACACCCGTAAGATTTATAGTAGCATAATTAGTAGCTGTGAAAAAGGCTCGCGTGCTCTGGAGGGTCAATCATATACTGTAACCCGCTCAGAGGAGCTCTCAAAGAAAGTCACATCTGCTTCTAAATAGATGCATAGAATGCACCGCCACCACAAGAAGTTGATGAATTAGCCAAAAACAAGAAGTTGGGGGAAGTCATCAAAGCCTCCCAGTGACATCAAAACAATCATACATACTTTGGGTACTTTTAACATACTATTTGTCACCATTCATGGAAGAGAGACACTGTCATAACTCCCATTGCTCTGCTGCTGCTGCTGCTGCTTGTGATGAGCCGCTCTGAGGGGAGAACTCCCCCTCAAGACGGGGGTTTCTGAAACAGCTTGAAGGAGGTCTAAAATAACATGCCTAATAGTTAAACGGTGTTATTGATGTAATCATGCCCTCCCCTCCCACCCGTCCTGCTGTCACTGATATCTCAAGAACAGTGAACTAATTAAAACGCTCCCGGAGTTTGTTTTCATTTCGCTCTTCACACAGAAATAAAGTCTTCACTAAACAGCTGCGTATTTCTTTTTTTCTCCCCCTCAAAGCCACAAGTTGGGACCTGTTGCCCCACTGTGCACAGAAGAGATGCAAAATCCCCATTCAATCATAAATTACACCTATTATGTAGTATTCCTGTTGTGGTTTCTCTGTGTTCCCTCTCATGTGCATGGGGGCACAGCTCACTGTGCACCTGAAATCACCTGAGCTAGGCTACTTTGGCTTCAGCTGACATTAGATGTGACGCAATTAGCTCAGTACACTCAAGCAGTACATTAGCCTACAGCTCAGAGATAGCCTACTTGTACTTTACTTGAATATTCAAATGTTATGCCACTTTATATATTATATTCAACTTTATTTTCAGACACAAGTCCAGATAAAAAATTGTAATTAAAAAATAAATACAACAACAACAAATAAATACAATACAATACGAGGACACCAAGACACAGGTTTAATCATTGCAGTTCAAAAGTCCCTCGTGGTTAAAAAACATCGACATTTGTTCCAATGTTTGCAAACACAAGAGGAATACCTTGTATCTCTTTGTGTTGGCTCAGTATATATTTGACGATGTTACGAATTACTTTTCAGATTATGTTTTTACATCCAAACAAACTGAGAGCATAGCTCTTTCCTCTCCACCATAGACTGTAAGCTGTCAACGGCTCTCAACATGGCTGAGCCAGCGGCTCACAGCTAACGGTGCTAACAGCGCTACAAACCACAACAGGGCTGTCAGCTAACAGTGCTTACCTGAGCAGGGACCCGAGGGTGGGCTTACCAGCTGTAACCACCATATGAGAGCAGAACATAGCAAAGAGTTGTTTGGTGCATTAGCTTCGCATTAATCAGCTTTTTTGCATAATGAGTATAGGCCTACTTTTTTCTACTACTTTGGTAAAATGTTGAATGCAGGACTAGTACTCTTACAATGCAGTACTGCTACTTTTACTCAAATAAATGGTCTGAATACATCCTCCACCACTAGTGCTAATTCAGGGGGACATTTGTTGTCAATTATAATAGTAAAGTATTAAATATACACATGAATATCTTTATTTTTTTCCCAGTGTGTTGCGCTTTCTCTCCTGTTTGATCTAGCTAATTACCCAGTAACATAACTTGAGCAGCATCTTATTTGTTGCTTTGCACAAAAGTCAGTGGGGTACATCAACATAATAGAAGACAAATGTGTTTTAAAAGAAAACATCTAAAAGAACCTCTGATGACACCAAAGGTTCATACAGTCTCTGCAGCAGTCAGATTTGATACTTCACGTCATCAACATTTGGATTTTCCTCTTTTTTTCCCCCCCTTTCTTGCCAGTAGTACAAGTGGTTAAGCTGCTGGTTTGCTGGAGCACATTGCAAACCTTGTGCAGAGGGGCGAGGGAGCACCTGCTTCCAGCAAGGAGGTGGAGAAAATGCTCTCATGAAAAACGTCCAGTTGTTGGCACTGATACTTGTGCAAGGGGTTGGATTGCTCTGAGAAAATGCACAGGTTATTCTGATAATCGTATGGGCTAAAACGTTAGCCTGATGCTTTGTGGTTTTCTTTCTACTTTTTGTTTTGTTTCCAGCAGAGGACATGGTGTGTGTGAGCAAAAATCAGTCAGAGCAAATTACGGATTGCCTTTGTGGTGGAGTGGTTCTTACACCTTATGATAAATGTAAACTTCGTGTCAGCTGCCATTTGTGTTTGAGCGATGATGATATGTGCTTCTTCTGCATCTGCGTCGCATTTTAATGCACCACAAACTGTTGCCAGAGTTTCCTGCTGAGAGGTGATGGGCGATGTGGTTTTATCAGACAGCCTCGGACCGCAAACAGAAGCGCAGAAGCTGTGAGAAGACACTGCTGGACTCGGATTCGCTCAGTCGGGAAGATAGATACGGCTTTCTACGTGAGCGGTGACAAGAAAGTACAGACAGCGGCATCATCGGTGGTAAAAGTTGGACTGAAAGTACACATTCAGTGAAGAAACTGATGCGCGTAAGAAGGGATGCCAGCCAGGCGTGGCTTGTGTGTTTGAATATCCAATGTGAGAATGCGTGGGGAGCATGTATATAATAGAGTCTTTCCATCTGATAAACAGAGATATCAAACTGATGATTATAGCAAAGGACGTCCAATAAACTGAGAGGACGCTGCCTATTTCGGAGGAGCACGGCGCGCTGGGTACGCTTTGGACTTGGTGTAAACTTTTCTCCCCGCTTGAACCACCGAACATTTAAAATGCTGTCGCTTAATTTGACAGCTGTGCACACGATGGCAGAGCTCGGGAGTTTTCTGGGGACAGTTGACTTGGATTTACAAAGCTTTCCGGCACTCGGGAATATGCCTTTACCGGAGCCTCCAGTGGGTTTGAATGAACGGCTGGGCCAGATTGAAGGGAGGCTGCAGCAGGGGTCGCCGACGGATTTCGGGCACCTCAAAGGGATCCTGAGGCGACGGCAGCTCTACTGCAGGACCGGCTTTCAGCTGGAGATATACCCCAATGGGACCGTGCACGGGACAAGACAGGACCACAGCAGATTTGGTGAGGCTATTTCTTGAGCATTTCACTTTTTTTTGTAAGTATGAGACATTTTTAAATATGGACGACTATGTCACATATACGTATAGTACGTCTCCACTGACAGGTCTAGCTTTTTTTCATTAATTAACCATCAAGGACTTATTAAACACAATGATTGTTAGAGACGTCTATGGCATCCAGTAATGTCGAGAAAACAATTATCAATTTCCAAAATGTAATTACAGTTTTGATTTATATCTACTAACACTTCAGGTAGTGGGTGAAGTGAGTTTAATTAAGAGTCACTGTCACCTGGCGCGCAGGAGAGCAGAGCCACACACCTTTTCCTGCGCGTGGGGGGCAGGTGTCTCTCCTGAGGCGCAACAGCAACAACTAGCGCGCGCGCTCAGCTCTGAAGATTTGGTAATATTAATGTAAATGGAGCGAGGTGCGGCTCGCGGTAGAACGATAAACAAATCGAGGCTTGGGGGTGCAGATACGCACATGTCTCGCGCCTCATATCCATGCTGTCATCTCACAGGTGCGGGCCGGCTCGCTCGCTGCGGAAAGAGCCGAATAACCCCAAATTAAAGCATGACCACTGCGGAATTCAGGGAAGGTTTAACGTTCAGACTTCAGCCAAAACAAGCCGGTTTACAGGGATGGGTGGTCCGCGTGTTTGTTTCTGGCTTCACTTAGTTTTTTCTAATGCAATGTCTTTGTCAGAGCTGCAAGAAAGACATGGATTTGATTAGAGGGATATGAAACACACTCTTCACCCCACAAAAAAATAAAATTAGAGGGATCTTCTCTGTCATCCTCTGGCATCACATGAGGTCGGGGAGATGGGGACCAGGTGGCTGCACGCTGGCCTCTGCCAGCCGGCACAGCCAGCTGGATCCTCTGACTAACCTCTGCATCACAACATCCAATAGCTTTTAATTTTGCTGGTTGTTTCCCTGCCTTTGCAGAACATGTTCGCTTTACTGTAACTTCCAGTGAGTCAGCATCCCACTAAACAACTTACCCACATCTCAGCTCCATAAAAGTGGCTTCTCAGTCTCTAGTAGTAGCCACTGGGAAGTTCCAAAAGACAGGTTGCAGACATTTATAGACACCCACAACCTTTCTGTGATTGATGTATGTCCCCGCAAGCAGTTTTCTTTAACATATAGGAATAATGGAGACTAAAAAGCCACATGGCAGGATATAACGCGCCAATGAGCAGCAAAGCAAAAAGAAAGCTCCCAAAACCAGTCAGCGGATGAGTATGCCGACTGGTCTGCTGCCACACTTGTTGCTGGGGAGGGGTGTCTGTTTGTGGGCTTTCCTAACTATTTTTTTTATATATACATATTGTGTGTGTGTTTGACCTCAGGCATCCTGGAGTTCATCAGTCTGGCTGTGAGTCTGGTCAGCATCAGAGGGGTGGACGTTGGACTTTACCTCGGCATGAATGAGAAAGGAGAGCTCTTTGGGTCGGTGAGTCAAAAAACCTCCTCCTCTCATTTACAACCCCGCCCTCATCATGCAGCCCGGGGTCTCATTCACAACAAGTCTGGCACTCGACACATGCGACTTGTTTTACAGCCACTCTCAGAAAATGAAATTTTTTTTCCTTTTTTTTTCAGTACTGAGCTATCAAAAATAAGTTTTCCAGGAGCAGTCTGAGAGTCAGTTTGTTATCAAGGTTCCCGTACGTGGCAGATGGGAAAACCACAGTCAGACAAAACAAGTATGTTTCTTTTACAGGGTCTCACACTCTCTGTCACATACTTCCCCCTCTCTTTAGCAGCTTTAGAGAGCAAACCAACCTCTTCATTTAGTTTTGAGATATGCAGAAATATTTACATATTTCCCTAAAGTGGAGACAGGAATGTTTGGAGTCACTCTGGATGTGAGCTGTGGGTGAATCTAGTGGAGATCACCTCTCTGTGCGCAGCTGGACTCAAGTTTGGACTGCAGCGTTAAGCACAGAAGAATATCCTGTGCTTTTCCACAGAAAATGTATCTGGAACATTTAGGTTCATGTCATCCTGGCTGACTTTCTGTCATTTGTGGATGGTATCTGGAGACATGGGAGAGAGGAAAAGGAAGAGATAAAGACAATGGAGGGGAAGTATGCGAGGGTTACCTGTATCAGGTATCCCAGGGCAATACCTGAGGGCCTCTCAGGGCCCAGACTCCCCCTGGCTCTGAGCATTTCGAACAGAGGCTACTTTTAAGCACGGCCATTATGTTGAAAGTGCAGATATTGTTACCGCGTGCTATCAGAGTCTGGCATCCTCCGGAGCTTTGACCCTGGGGGAGGCAGAGGGGGGGATGGGGGGTGATGGGGTGAGTAAGTGATTTGTGGGGGGGGTAATTGCACACCTGACTGAGTCACCTGACTGACAGGGGGAGCTGAGAGGCCAAGAGGTGGAAGGGGGAGGGGAATAGGTAGAAGGGTGCTTCCGCCCCACAACCGCCAGACATCGACGAGCTTTTGATCCGATGAGGTGTGTGTGTGTGTGTGTGTGTGTGTGTGTGTGTGTGTGTGTGTGTGTCTATTAGGATGGAGCTGGCCCAGTCATGTGCCCTCAGGGCTGTGTTTACAGACAACAGCTTCACCACATAGCCACAGCCAAGCAGAGCCTGACAGCTTATCAACAAAATTGCTGCCGGAATAAAACCCGAGACTCTTGCAAAAAACACTCGCTAGAACTGTAACGTGCGCTAACGTCAGAGACCGATCATGAGAATTATCTTGCTTTGTAGAGAAGCCACAGCCTACTAACCAAAAAAAACAAACTAGTCCAAGGTGGGAGAAAGGAGTGCTGAGGAGGGAGAGTGGGAGATAGCAACACTCTTCGAAAGGGGGTCACATTTGACCTTTTGGTCCTGGGTGACCCCTGACTCGACTGAGGGTCCAACCCCTCTTGCTGCATGACTGACTGGTCTTGGCATGAGAGCAGCTCCAGCACTGCAGTCTCTTATTGTTCTCACACACTCACTCAGCCAGCACACTCTCACCTGCTGAACCCGCAGCCATAGTTCATGCTGCTCTGTCAGTGTAGACAGAGGCTTTGAGAGCTGCTGTGTGTGTGTGCGTGTAACAGTGGGAGAGAGCGAGGGAAGATTGTACGCCCGCTCGCTGTTTTTGTTGCATCACGGGGAGGAGAATAATTCTCCATGCACAACGAGAGGTTAACAGGTCTGAGGAATGCGTGTGGGGCGTAAAGTGGACAGCTGCTCGTAATGACTTCCCCTCTTTTGTCATAATGAGCAACCTGCCTTAATGAGTTTCTACGGGTTCATTTCAGCTTGCAGGCGCAGTCCGCGATACTTAATGAAATACATAAGAGATCATGAGGAAGAGAGGAATCTGCATGCAAAGCAGGCATCATCCTTTTCATTCTCAGCTGCATTTCTTTTTTTTTACGTCTGTAAAATCATGTCTGCGTTGCAAATGTTCTTCTTTTCTCACTCAGTGGCGCGCAAGCAGGACCTCAGCGATTGACTGATGTGTTGTTTTCTCTCCTGCAGAAGAAGCTGACAGCAGAATGCGTGTTCAGGGAGCAGTTTGAGGAGAACTGGTACAACACCTATGCTTCAACTCTGTACAAGCACACAGACACGGGACGCTTATACTACGTGGCCCTGAACAAAGACGGCTCGCCCAGGGAGGGCAACAGGACTAAAAAACACCAGAAACTCACCCACTTCTTACCCAGGCCGGTGGAGATTGAAAAGATCCCTCAGGCATACAGGGACCTGTTCCAGGACAGGTGACCAGTGCTTACGGTTGGAGAACCGGTTACATTCAGAGGAACAGAAATGTATAAAAAAAGAGAAGAGGGAGATAGGGTTGTTGTGGATATTTTGGACGTGGTACAGAACTATTTACCCTCAGCTCCCCCTGAGGTCACTCTGTTTGCACCTCGGCCCACTGCCAAGCACTGACATAAACATTGTGCATGTTCCTGGATGTTGGGGGGGGGGGAAGTTATCTTGTAAAACCACTGCATGGACATGGACCCCGCTGTGGGGTGATCAAAATCAGGAGCCGTGTTTTCTGAATAACCACTTTTTTAGAGGTAAATGTGTAGATACTGAAGCGACACGCGACGACAAATGGGTTTGAGTAGCACTAAGCTGGCGGGAAGGGGGGGGGGGGGACTGCAGATTATCACATAGTGCATTTGCCGTGCACCGCACACAGTAAATTGTAAGAAAGTGCACATTCCGCATACACGGCGATAGATGGGAGAAGAAGAAACTATGTTGTACATGCATGTTAAGTGACAGGTCGGGATTGGTCAGGTACTAAAGAAGAAGAATGTCTGTGAGTCAGAGAACAAACTGTTACAAGGCGAACTGGAGTTTTATTAAGTCGACTTCAAAATCAAAGAGGAAAGAGGGGAATAAAATCTCTAAGAATGTGTGAGAGATGAAAGAGCACATCCCCAGTCCCAGCTGTGGACTCACTTGGTCTCCCTTGTAATCATCGGAGTCTAACAATCTCATTCATCACATTTAAATAAAATATCAAGCGACGTCTTGGAGGAATTGTATGCAAAACAAGCGACTAAACTCGGGACGAAAGCACTTCTATGACTGTGGTTGTAAAGAAATGTGATGGGCTTTTTAAAAAGGGTGGCGACTTGTAATGTTATCAGGAACATTACTAGAAATGCAAGCAGCTGAGGTGTACATATGGGCGATCCTATTTATGAGATGTACAATATATTTATTTTCTACATATAAAGTATAAATATAAATCTATATATTTATTTATTGCAAAGACTTTATTTTGTAATGAACTTGAAGTTATCTGGACTGTAGATTCTACTGAAATTACACCAAAAACAACTGCAATGAACATGACAATAAAATTGTCCCGCTATTGAGAACTCATTGTGAGAGACTGTTTGCTTGGATTAAAAAAAATCTGATGTACCAATTAAAACCAGATATAGAATCTATGTGAATGTTGCATTTCTTTACTTTGATTTTCAGCCATGCTAGCAGGAAGGCTAGCAGGATGGCTAGCAGGAAGGCTAGCAGGATGGCTAGCAGGACGTCGATGTTGGCCAGTCGGGCTTTGGTCCAGACTGAAATATTTCAACAGTTGGATGGATTGCCATACAATCTTGTACAGACATCCGTGGTCCCCAGAAGACAAATCTAAATGATATTTGGTGATCCTGACTTGTCCTCAAGCGCCACTATGAGGTTGACATTTGTGGTTTTCACCTGACGATGAACAGATACAGTTTAGCAAGATTTAAAAAGTAGCTTTTCAAAAATGCTTCAGCCTTTGCTGATTAGTTGATGTAAGACCAATATTATGCTGCACGCTCATTGTGATTAAAATGCCTCAAATGTAATGTCTTGACATGCAATAACTGCATGGCATCGTGTCCTGCTGTCTAAAAGATGAAGGTAAAAAGATACAGCACATTCCCCCCCCCCCCCCAGAGGAGAACACAATACAATGCCATGCCAATTCGCCCTCATAAACCCTTTGCCAAGTAATGTGCACAGGCTCTCTGTCTCCATAAGGTCTTAGTCAGCCTACAGCCACCGTACAAAATCAGATTCCTTACGCAACTGGATCCCGGCTCCTAATTAGCTTTACACATCAGCATGGATTTAGAGCAGTGATTGGTTGTTCACTGCAGGGGCCTCACAGACTCCACTACAGTGTAGTCCACAGACTTTTCAATGGACAGAAACAGCTGCCGTCTGCACAGAGAACCAGCAGGGATGTGCCTGCCGCAAACCTGGAGTGGTGGTAATCTGGGGCTGAGAGGGGATGGGATCAACATTTCAACATCTGCAATAGTTGTAATGTTTCTCCACTGGCAGATATCTGTAAGCTGTGAGAGCAAGCTTCCCTGGGGGGGAGGGAATGGAAAAGTCAAAGACATGCAGGGGAAAACCCTGGCAGACAGAAATGAAAACAATACCAGGAGAGGGAAAAATAGATGAAAGATTGAAGGGAGGAGAGAGTGGGACAAAAGGCACTTAGTGCTGTGGGAGGGTGTGAAATACAGGGACGCTGCCTCAGGACGCATCAGCTATCTGCCTTCCAACTGTTAGAGCGCTCTAAACTTTGGGGAAATATGCTTTGCTTTCTTGCAGGGAATAAGAAGATCAATGCCATTCTCATATTAGTATAAATATGAAGCTTTAGCAAGGAGACAGTTAGCTTAGCTTAGCATAAAGACTGGAAGCAGGGGAAACGGCTCACCTGGTTATGTTGGAAGGTAAAATAAAGCTGTCCATCCTGTGAGGTTAGTCCTACTCAGAGCACTGAAATTTCCATTTTAGTGTCCAAGTTTCCTGCTCAAAACACAACTGGGTCCAAATTCTTCAATAAACAAATCAATGGGACCAATATGAAAAACATGTATTTTGTGGGTCCATGTCCTGAAGGTTTAAAACACTGGCTGTAAACAAATCAACATCCCCGATACAAGTCTGGCTCGGTACCTTTGCTGGATATCATTCCACAGCTCTCTCCACGCCTTTCTTCTCATCTTCATCCGTCAACAGTCTGATAAAATGCCCCCCCCACCCCCCAAAATACAGGAAAATTGTGTTATCAGATATTTTTAGACCCTTAACTACCAATATTTGTATCAGCCTTCAGACATGTTTTCATACAGGTGTATAAAAACATTCCCCTTAAGTAATTCAGTCAGTGCAGAGGAATGCATGGAACACAAATGACTCAAACACAGGAGTTGCTCATCCTTTTGGTCACTTTATTAAATGTTATATTAAATACTTATCAAGATAATAGCAGATCAGATTCATGGCAAATAATGTCGGTGCATTTGCTAACACAAAAACATTCTTAGAGGAGGGCAAAAAGGTTTCTTTACGTTTATGAAATACACCTTGTGCAAACACAGGAGTCAACTAGAGACGACATCTCTTTGTGAGAAATGTACATATTCCTCTGGATTAACAGCTACACCAGTTTAAGCATTTAGAAGCAAAAATGTGCCAAAGTAGAATACAGATAGTCTGGGTGCATGCCTGCTGGGACTAGTGTCCAGAAGGCATTTCTCACAAAGCAGAGGACACAAATCAACCAGATATAGAATAAAATTTCCTTCTTTACTCCATCAGATCCACCGGGAAACAAAAAAATAATTCCAAAATGTGACACGACGTAAAGGGAAAAGATTTGGGCCCTGTGATATCTGGCTGAACTGGCTGTGCTTTGTGAGACCCAGTCACTCACCCAAAGTTGGGATCAACACAAGTGGAACATAAGCAATGAACAGGACGCACAGTGCTATGCTAGACAACACGTGACAATGAGAATGATGTTACAAAAAGGTCATAGGAAACCGGGCAGGCAGTTTTGAACAACACAAGCATTCCATTACCATGTTCAGTGACAACTAATGTAAACACTTAAAAGCATAATAGAAAAGATTCTCAATCAAATCTCAAATCTTTACAGAGCTTTTTTTTTTGTTTTTTTACGAAATGAATTTAAGGCCATATTTTTTTTCTGCTTTTGTTGACTCATC